CCCTTAGTTCAGCTGCAGTTATCTGATTAGTTCCTGTAACTATATGAGGAGCAACATCTCCAGGCGTGACTACGATTTCTGAGCAGACTGTGTCTCTGCACACACATTTGCTAAAAGAGAGAAACTTGCTGAAGATGCTTCTCCCTGCGGTGCTCGTGGACGTGGTGCTCTGACCTCTGGTGCTGCACGAGGCTGAGTTTTGGGGGGCGGGGGGCAGCGGGGATCCGCACTGCTGCAGGCGCTCGAGCACACAACCTTTGGTAAAGGCAGAGTTAACCAGGCACGCTTCCCCACTGCTGCTCGTGATAAGGGGCCATCCTCCTCCGGCGTTGCCCTGATGCGGTGGCAATAAGCAGCTGGCTTTGTTTGCTCCCGAGCACGAGGCTGTTGATGGAGATTTCCATCATCATCAGCTGTGGCCGAGAGAGGGGAAAAGTCCCCGTGCATCAGCGCTCAGAGCCTGCAGGGAGGTGTGCCCCAAAGGTGCGGGGTGCCGGGGCTGCATACCCCCTTCCTCCGGGCAGGTAGCGCCGGGGAAAAGCTCCACCACAGCCTTGTCACTGCACAGGGACCAGTTAAAAACCCTACAGACCCACAGATGGCTCCAGCATCGCACTTTGCTCCGAGGCCTCGGCCGCTATTGACTGCAGCTGTCCCGGAAAATCAGATTATAGTGCAAAACCCTGGCATCGAGTCTGCTCTGACAAGTCAGGTCTTCCATCTCCTGGCTAGATCGTCAGGATGAAGAGCACACGAAGGGGAGCAGGGGGATAAGCCTCCACTGCGAGAGCTTTTCCTCTGGCCTCAGCTGTGTCGGAGGAGTGCTGCAAACCCAGACCTCCTCGGTGTTCCCTGGGGCCCGCGATGGCCGTAGCCGTGCCCAAGACTTGGGTGGGAGAAGGGGGATCTCGCCCAGGAACCACGCACGGGAGCTCCTGACCCGGCTCATCTCCCTTGTCCGTGGCAAAAGCCATCAGAGCTCTGCTGCCCACTCCTCCTCCTCGCGCCGGAGTGCTTTAGGGCCGTTGAACAGGCATTAACTGTAGATTTAAATGCTCCCAGGGCAGCAAAGGGAAAAGCTCGTCCATGTCCACGGCGAGAGCAACCCTTCGGCGTCCCCACGGCAGGCGCCCGAGCTCCGGCATTGGCACCTCAGCGTCACCGCGGCAGGCACCCGAGCTCCGGCGCTGGCCCTGGGTTTGCCAGGCTGCCTGAGCCCTGCCGTGTTGGCCATCACCTCCCCTCCCTCTTGTGCAAGCGCTGTTACTTATTTACGTCTTCATTGTGTGCCTGCCTGGCTTCTCACCAGAGCAATTTATTTTCCACTCCTGCTTCGATGCGACTGTTCAAGCCTCCTTTTCCAGTCAGGATGAGGCCGCGCCACTGGAAATATGTCACACAGCTAAAGACATTTATTTCAGCGGAGAGAGTCGCAAGCGCCTCGGGTGACGCTTCATTTGCAGTCAGGAAGAAAGATGCCAAGTGTTGCTCGCTGAAACCAGTTGCTGAGACAGACTGGAGACAACGCGGGCTCCCGTCTTAGAAAAACTTGAGCCTGCCGCCCCGGCAGCCCACGCTCCGTCCACCCCACGGGCTCTGCCCTGCTCCGCGTCTGCCCTCAGACCCAACTTCTCGCAGGGACGCTGCCAGCGGCAGGTGCTCCGTGTCTGCCTCGAGTGAACCCCCCAGCCCCGTGCCCGGACCGTGGCAATCCCAGAGCGGGGGGGTCAGGGGCCCAGCTGCTGGGGGACGGACCCCAAACCCGGCTGGGGAGCTGCACCCACCGCCCTC